ATATATTTTACCCAGTATTCTACTTGTTTATAAATGGGAGGTCATGTCTGTTCCTCGTTAGGCTTTCATGGCTGGAAGTATAGTTATTTGTTTTAATGCTATAAATACTGATTATACTGCTGGGCTTTATGCTTCCTAAGGAAAGATAACTGAGTATCTTCTATCTCTAGCACATAGCGGGATTGAATATTTGTTAATGATGATCTTTGGTTAGGAAAGGCACTACTACTTTCCTACAGTGAAAGCTTTTATTTCATATTTTATACTTTAAATTTTAAAAGGTTTCTTATAGATAGTTATGATTTCCTTTCAAGGATCACTTACTAGAATTTTAAAAAACATCATTTTGAAAGAATTCCATGCCATGGCAAGAAAGTACCAAAATTTAATTTGGTACTTTGGTAATTTGGAAAAGAGGAATTAACATTCCTCTTTTCACTATAGCATTCAACTATGTCTAAGTTATTCTGACCTTAGTTATTCAGTTTATAGGATTATTTGGTCCTCTTTTCCTGCCTTCTTCCTTTTTATCCTGTGCTTTTCTTTTCTTTACTTTATTTCTGCTTACATCTCTATAAGGTAGGGAGCCTGCATGGGGAGAGGGGAGAGAATGAGCATACATGCAAATGAAACTTACAAATTTGGCTTTTGATTCAGTTTTAATAATGTTTGGAGGTTGTCAAAAGTCACATCATAATCTAGTTCTGGATCCCTATGGCCATTAGAAATAGTTTTTTTCTTTTGGTGCTTGGTTATATAGGTATTTAATTGTCTGTCATTCTTTAAATTGATACTGATATTTAAAAAGGCTAGAAATTTAAAAAATGTATTGATCTATTATAGTAGGAACATGTGTATGCTAGGGAAGGGACATTGGGAAAATACGGTAACATTCTTTGTTGCCAGGAATCACTGGGTTTTGTACTAATTAGCCTTGAAAAATGTGGAGCTATTTGACAGACCAGATGTTTTCAGCATGAGCCATGTGTCTCATCAGTGAATATGCCTTGTGTCTGCAGGCAACATTGTTGGATTTTTCTCATTTTATAAACAATGTTCCAAAATATAACTAAACCCCAAAGTGTGTTTATCTTTTGGGCTTAATTTCTGGCTTTCTATCCATTCTAAAGTTTCTCTCTAGAGGAACTGCATTTTATTGCACATAGCTCTTCATACCTAATTGTAGTATAAACACCATTCTGTTTACACTAAACCATGTGAATTGTATTGTTTTTGAGCCTGTAAAATTTTAATAAAAGCAACTATTTCAGATTTAACTGTATTTTTACTTTTATTTCTAAATTTAGGAGGAATAGACTTTTCTTCCCTCCATTGATTTGGACTAAGATTTTGATTTTTGGAACACATGAGGGAAAATAAGAAATACAGCAAATAAAACCAGTCTCTAGTCTTTAGTGTTTGTAGTACTAAGTTCACTAGAGTAAGAAGAGCTTAAGTATATCTGCTGTGAACATCATTCTTAAAAGTCTAAAATACAGCTATGATTCTTTTTTATTTATAGGGATGAAACTGAATTTTTCCTATACTAAATATGTCATGGGAAATGTGGAAATTAGGGAATTAAAAGTATGAAGAAGAAAATTATCCCTCATAAGGTTATTGTCCAAAGTAAGAAAATCATGGTTAACATTTTTACATATATTTTTCTCATTATTTCTCTCTGCACTTTTGTGTGTGTGTGTATTCAGTGATATATATTGTATACCTACATATTCATAATTTATACATGTGTACATATTTATAATTTTGAAACTCATTATGATTATACTTGTAAGATCTATTTTTTTTCAATTGGTGTAGTGTTCCCGGAGGTACTGTAATGTCAGGTTGATGTGTGGAGTGGATGAAGCAAGCGCCCATTCTATCTCCTGGCTCCAAAAGTCTGTTTCATGTATTGTCCTCTGATAGGGATGCATCAGAAATTAAACAGATAAGAATAGATACTATACTTAGTTTTAGCCAAAAGGCTGAAAAGTTGATAAGATCTATTTTTTCTAATGATTTTCATTCAATAATATTGTAAACATTTTCTATTTTATTAGTATTTTACTACATGGACATATCAAATGTGTTTAACAAATTCCTTGTTATTAGACATCTAGGTTAGTCTTTTTTTCCCTAATATAAATAGCTCTACAATTCAAGAGGCTAATACATATTTTTGTATGTTTTGGAAATGCAATTGTTTAGCATAGTTGTTTTGCTAAAATTCCTCATTGTAAACTTCTGTCATTAATAAAAGTTTGTTTGCCGGCAGGCTGTGAATTCCTATTCACTGAAACCCCTGACATGATACACATTATCTTTTAGGAAATCTTTGGCAGTTTGAGTGGCAAATTATGTTTTTCATTTGCATTTCTTCACATATAAGTTTAACTTCTTTTTTTGTTGTTGTTCTTTTGTGAATTTTCTTTATTCATTGCTTTTTTAAAAAAAGAACTCAAGTTTATTAATCTTTTATATATTAATACATTATAAACAATCTTTACAAGCTTTTTGTTTTCTCTTAATATTATTCTTATAATATTTTTTATGCATAACTTATTTTGTTTTTATCTACTCACCTTTATCAATCTTAGTTTTATTTGTCCTCTTATGCTTATAGAAGCTTTACCACCTATCAGATAAATAATGTCCGTTTTATTATTATGAAATGTTTCTCTGTTATTAGCAATATGTATTATCTTAAAGTTTTTTGTATCTCGTATTAATATAGCCATTTCTACTCTTTTAGGATTACTTTTTGTATAGTATATCGTCTTCCATCTTTTTCTTTCAAATTCTTTGTATCTTTGAATCTAATGTGTGTTTCTTATAGATAGTATGTATTTGGATTATCCTTTTAAAATCTTGTATTGATGATGTGTGCTTTCTGATTGGTGTGTTTAATTCCTTTACATTTAATGTAATTATTGATACCATTGGATTTTGCTCTTTGTTTTCCATATTTTTCATGTCTTTTTGTTTTTATTCCTCCTTTACTGGTTTCTTTTCTGTTAATTTTGTACCATGTTATTTTAATTCTTTTGATTTTTAAATAATATGTTTTTGATATTTTTTAGAGGTTGCTCTATGGATTATAATATGTATCTTAGCTTATTACAGTCTACCGTAGGTCACTGTTGATACAAATTTGTTATAATATATACTAGTAGTTTTGATTCAACATAGCTCCATTTATTTTCTCCTCTTTTGTGCTACTGTTGTTATATATATTACTTTTATGTATTTTATAAACCCAACAGTATAGTGTTATATGATTGCTTTTAAATATCTTTTAAAGAAGTTAAGAAAAGAGAAAAAATATGTTAATTCAGTCTTTTATATTTAGCATATATTTACTATTTCCCATGTTCTTCATTTCTTTCTGTGAATCAAGTTACCATCTGCTGTCATTTCCTTTCAGGCTTCCTTTAGTATTTCTTGTAAGGCAGGTCTGCTAGCAAGGAATTCTTTCAGTCTTTGTTTATCTGGGAAGGTATTGTATTGATATTTCACTTTCATTTTTGAATAGTAATCAGCTAATGATTGATCAAAGGTTGTGCTCAAACAGACTGGAGCTGGTAAAGTTTTCATTCTTTGCCAATGGATTTGTATGTGGGTAAGGAAGTGGATTAAAGGTTCAGGCCCTTTCCAAGTCTGCCTGTGCTTTTACTTTATGCTAGGCACACAGGTGCCTGCCTATAGCCTTCTAGTAAACTAGGGATGTGTGGGAGTGCTTAGGTCCTTTTAGCTGTCCCTTGCATGTGTGCATAGCCTCTCAGTCAGCTAGAGACTTGCAGAGAGCTTATCAAGCTGTTCTATAGGTCTCTTATTTCAGTGACCTTCCTATTATATTTCTGGTTAGTTCTACAGTCTGTTGTTTACCCCAACACAGATTGCAACTTTAGGCCAGTAAAACTGGAGGTTTTATTTATTTAGTTATTTATTTTTACTGAGTTTGTTACTTTTACTCACAGTGCAACTTAATATGGGTTTTTCATCCTCTGCTTCAAATCATATTAGCTCCTAATGTCAGTGAAGCTGCTGGTTTTCATGACTAGCCATGGCCAATGCCTTGGGGCAGAGGAATTGAAGGGGCAGGGTGATGGAAGTAGCCCCAGGCAGGAGTACTACACAGTCCCACTGTTGGGCAGTTTTCATGAATTAACAGTGTTGTTCTTCTTTGGTCAATTTCCAGAGCGCTGAAAATGGTTGTTTTGGATAGTTTTGTCTATTTTATATTTATTTTTGGGGTAGAAGATTTGCTAAGCTATTTCCTCTGTTGTAGTTGAAAGTTTAACCTTGGCTACTACTTCTCTTTTTTGGGGGAGGGGGGTACTTCATTTTGTAGGATTTTTTTTTTTCGTTGGCACTGAGATGATCATTTTTTATTTTCTTTATTCTTTGTGGAATTATTTCATTGGTAGATATCCTAAGTTTTATGCATATTTTGGATAAAATCTTTTTTGAGCTGGTCGCTCAAACCTGTAATTCTAGCACTTTGGGAGGCCGAGGTGGGAGGATCATTTCAGGTCAGGAGTTTGAGACCAGCCTGAGCATGAGCCCACCCTGAGCATGAGCAAGACCTCATCTCTATAAAATAAAGAAAGAAAGAAAGAAAGAAAGAAAGAAAAATTAGCCAGGTGTGGTAGTACACACCTGTAGTCCCAGCTACTTGGGACGCTGAAGCAGGAAGATTGTTTGAGCCCAGGAGTTTGAGGTTGCAGTAAACTATAATGATGCCACTGAGCCTCTGGCAACAGAACGGGACCCTGCCTCAGGAAAAAAAAATCTTTTTGATTATAATTTCCTAGTCTTTTAAAACATATTAATTTTTAATAATTTGAGATTTTTTAATTGATATTTTTATTAAAAATTAATACTGGATTTGTCTTAATGTACAGTGAATACCAAATTAGGCTAGACATTTTGTCTGAGGAATATATCTGTGACCCTAAAGACTGAGTTGAGTTAAAGGTGATCAATTCCTTTTATAGGCATTATCCTGCACTGAAAACTCTGGAACATTTAGAGCATACCTATCTGCCTCAAGTAAGCCACTACCGGTTCTGCAAGGTGATGGTGGACAACATCCCCAAGCTTCGAGAGGAAATAAAGGATGTTTCTATGTCTGATCTCAAAGACTTTCTGGAGAGCATTCGCAAACATTCAGACAAAATTGGAGAGACTGCCATGAAGCAAGTAGGTCTTCGATTTCTGATAGGTTGTCCAATGGCTTTGCAAGTATTCAGTTAAACACAGGTTTCTCTTTGCCAGGTGTCTTAATTGTTTCTTATTATTTTAGGGAAATCTTTCATCTTTGTGGAAACACAAGATTAAAAATGTTTTTTATTTATTTTTTTATTTTTTTAACAGAGCAACTGACAATTGTTTTGCTCCGTGGATGTTCAGTAAATACTGACTGATTATATAATGGGGATTTGAAGAAATTTTTCTGTTATTTGAATACTTTCCACGACTTTGAATATAATTTGAAGCTCAAAATGTTTTAAAGTTTGCTTTCTAGTTAATGACTTAAATTGCATTGCAAAGGCCTTTGGCTAATTGTTTACTATATAAGCAAGATGTCATATTATATATGAATATTTATGATTTTAACAGGTATCAATGAAAAAAGGCCTATTGGGAAATGTGGTGAATTATGATCACAAAAAGGGGTTTATTTACAGCTTATAAATTAACAAATGTGTTAGAAATATTTAGATTTATAAAAATATCTTCATCTCTAAGTCACCAATGCCATGAGGAACATCTGAATTTCTTTTGTCTTTGTGAATGAAAGAGCAATAATGATTTGGAGTAATACTTGCTCTTTTGAAATTTATCACATTGATTTTATTAAAATTTCTCAGTATACCTGATGATGTAGCCTATAACAATAAATAGAAAAAATTCAGTTGTATGGAAAGAGTTTTTTGGTTCTATAAACAGTGTTCTTGAATAGGTCATTTGTAGTTTTTATCATTCTATGGGAAATGAGGGAATAGATTAGATTTTGAATTTTATTTTAGGTATCAACTACCCTTGGTAATCTATTCAGATGTCTTTTTGATCTATAATGTCTGTTTGATCTAGCAAAAGAGATTTGCCAATGACCCTTTCCTAGGGGAATACAGATATTCCTCCTCCCCTTTCTTCTTTTAAATTTGGTCAATGTTATACTTTATAAAGTGCAGAGTTTAAAACTAGCTGGGATCTCTGTAGCACAGCCACTGCCACCTGTGTAGCACTGCAGCAGCTACCACAGTAGGATGTGGGCAGAAGGAGAGCTCCAGCCACTGTGACTCCCCAGCAGGGTGCCAACATCACCCCCACTCCCCCAGCTGTGGCCTGAAGAGCCAACACACCACTGGCTGCAGTCCCACAACCCCCCCCCCCCAGGCAATGGCCAAGACCCCTGCCCTGTCCAGGTACCTGCCAAGGTCCCCTGCCCCACATAGGCCCCTGCCAAGTTCCCATAACCCACTCCACTGCCTGATGCAGTCCTGTGATGCACCCAAGCACCCACCAAGTTTCTGTGATCTGACCCACAGCTAGCTGTGGTCCCGTGATGTGGTGCAGGCACCTGCCAAGGTCCTGCAATCCACCCAGGTGCTGGCCAAGGTCCCATGATCTGCCCAGGCACCTGCCAAGGTCCCACAACCTGCCCAGGCACCTGCCAAAGTCCCATGACCGACTCATGCACTGGCCAAGATCTTGTGATTGTGCCTAGACATCTACTGACGTCCTGTGGACTAGTCCATGCTTGCTGCAGCCCCATGACCTGCCCAGGTCCCAGCCAAGGTCATGCTACTCACCTCGTAGAGAGGGACTTGCTCAGCCCCCTCCTAAAACTTTCAACTGCAGCCTTGGGAGCAACTCACCAATCCAAATTAATATTTTCTAGCACTAGTTTTGACTGTGATAACTACAGGGGAACAGGACTATGCAGGAGAACAGCTGCATTACAGGCTCTTAGTGCATCCACCTCTCTCCTGCTGGGTCAGTCCTCCGGGAGTAGAACACAAAAGTGCTACCTGGAGATTTCTCCTCCTTCTCACTAAGTAGGAGAGTTCATAGCAAAGGAAAACAGGTGCTCTGCAAACCTATCAGCCTTAAGCTGAGAGAAGAGGTTTCAGTTAAGAAGAATCTGGGAAAAGAATTCTGGCAACATTAAAAAACAAGCTAGTTTGATACTCCCAAAGGATCACAGTAGATCCATAGCAATGGACCCCTACCAAAAGGAAATTGTAGAAATGTCAGAAATAGAATTCAGAATATGGATGGCAAAGAAGATGAATGGAATTGAAGAGAAAGTTGAAAACCAAAACAAGGAAACCAAAATATATCTCAGGACATGAATGAACAATATGAAAAACTTACAAAAGAGATAGACAACATAAGAAAGTATATAACAGAACTTAAAGAAATGGAAGAGTCATTTAGGGAATTATAAAATACAGCAGAAAAGTTCAACAACAGACTAGACCAAGTAGAAGAAGAGGTTGAAGATAAGGCTTTTCAATGATCCCAGTCAGTCAAAGACAGAGGGAAAAGAATAAAGAAGAATGAATGGTCACACAGAGAAATATAGAACTATATGAAACAAGCCAATATATGAATTATAGTTTTCCCAGAGGGAGAAGAAGAAAAAGCAAAAAGCATGGAAAACCTATTTGAGGGAATTATTGAGGAAAACTTACCTGATACCACCAGAAATTCAGATATGTAGATACAAAATTGTCATCGAACACCAGGAGAATTCATAGGAAATAGGACATCTCCAAAACACACGATCATTAACCTGGCCAAAGTCAGAATGAAGAAGAAAATTGTATAAGCTGTAAGACAAAAGCAACAACTAACCTACAAAGGAAAACCCATCAGGCTAACAGCAGATTTCTCAGCAGAGACCTTACAAGTCAGAAGATATTGGGGCTTCATTTTTAGTCTTCTTAGACAGAACAACTGCCAGCCAAGAATTTTGTGTACTGGAGAACTAGGTTTCATAAGTTATAGAGAAATGAAGACTTTTCCAGACAAACAAACACTAAAGGAATTTGTTACTACTATCCCTGCTCTACAGGAAATGCTCAAAAGTGCATTATATGTGGAACAACACAAGAGATGCCAAACACTGTAAAAACACCCAAAAGTGAAAGCTCACAGCTCTTATAAAATAGTAGCACAAGAAAGAACAAAACAATTAAGCTATCACCCAATATGATGAACAGAATAGCATCCCACATATCAATACTATCACTTAACATGAATGGTATGAATGCCCCACTTAAAAGACAAAGACTAGCTGAATGGATAAAAAAAAATGCAACCCAAGTATCTGCTGTCTTCAGGAAACACATCTAATTCACAAGGATACAGAGACTCAAGGTAAAGGGATGAAAAAAAATATTTCATGCAAGTGAAAACTAAAAGCAAGCAGATGTAGACATTCTCATATCAGATAAAATAGACTTTAAATCAACAATGGTTAAAAAAAGTTAAAGATAATCATTATATAAAGGTAAAGAGAGTAATTCCACAAGAAGACCACAATAAATCCTAAATATATATGCACCTGACACAGGAGCTCTCAGGTTCATGAAGCAAATTCTGCAAGATCTAAGCATAGAAATAAATTGTAGCATTTTAATAGCTGGGGACTTCAACACCCCACTGACAGAACTAGACAGATCATCAAAGTAGAAAGTGAATAAAGAAACAATATACTTAAATGAGACTCTAGAACAAATGGATCTAACAGATATTTATTAAATATTCTACCCCCAAGCTACTGAATACATAATCTTCTCATCAGCACATGAGACATTTTCCAAGATTGATCATACCTTAGGCCACAAAACAAGTCTCAGCAAATTAAAAAAAATTTGAAATCATACCATGTATCTTCTCAGACCATAGTAAAACTAAAGGTCAATTCCAAGAGAAACACTTATTCTACACAAAGTCATGGAAATTAAACAACCTGTTGCTGAATGACACCTGAGTCAATGATGAAACTAAGATGGAAATAAAAATATTCCTTGAACTGAATGACAAAGGGGACACAAGCTTTCAAAATCTATGGAATACAGAAAAAATAGTACTAAGAGGAAAATTCATAGCCTTAAAATGTCTTCATCAAAAAGACAGAAAGATCACGAATTAACAACCTAATTAAACTAGAAAAAGAACAAACCAAACCCAAAGCCAGCAGAAGAAAAGAAATAACAAAGCTCAGAGCAGAGAACTAAGTGAAATGGAAACCAAAAAAACAATGAAACAAAAAGTTGGTTCTTTGAAAAGATAAACAAAATTGATAGACTACTAGCCAGATTAACCAGAAATAAAAGAGAAAGGACTTAAATAAGCTAAATCAGAAATGAAAAAAGAGAGGCATTACAACTGATACCATGAAAATACAAAATATTATCCATGAATACTACAAAAAAGCTCTATGGAAAAAACTAGAAAACCTAGAGGAAATGGATAAATTCCTGGAAACATACAACCTCCCAGGCTTGAATCAGGAAGAAATACAAATCCTGAACAGACTAATAATGAGCAGTGAGATTGAAGCACTAATAAAAAATCTCCCAACAAAATAAAGCCCTGGACCGGTTGGATTCACAGCCAGATTCTATCAGACCTACAAAGAAGAACTGGTACCTATCCTACAGAAATTATTCCATAACATCAAGAAGGAGGGCTAACTCATTCTATGAAGCCAGTGTCATCTTAACACCAAAGCCAGGAAAGGAAACAACAAAAAAAAGAAAACTACAGACCAATATTCCGTATCATAATAGATGCATAAACTTCAACAAAATACTAGCAAACCAAATACAAGAACACATTAAAAGGATAATTCACCATGATCAAGTGAGTTTTATTCCAGGGATCCAAGGATGATTCAACATATGCAAATCAACAAATGCCATTCACCATGTAAACAGAAACAAAAACAAAGACCATGTGATTGTATCAATAGATGTGGAAAAAGCATTCAATAAAATCCAGAATCTTTTCATGATAAAAACCCTCATCAAACTAGGAATAGACCTCAAAATTATAAAAGACATGTATGACAAACCCACAGCCAACATCATGTGGAGTGGGGAAAAGTTGAAAGCATTCCCCCAAAGAACTGGAATAAGACAAAAGTGTCCACTGTCACCACTTCTATTCAACATATTACTGGA